TCAGCCTGGACTCTTCCCTCTGCCTGCTTTCTCCCTTATTTCTACAACAAAATCTCTATACTTTAGGAGTGGCCATGTCCTTCTCCATTTATTTCCACCTTTTTTACATTCAGGAACAAAGCAAGTTAGTCGACATTTTTTTTTAAACTAGAATTTTAGTTTGATAAAATTTAACTTCTTTAAAAAAAAAAAGTAAAACAAAACAAACAAACCTCCAAACAGTGGATACAGTTTTTGTTAACTCTAGCATTCACGAAAATTCAGCAGTAAAACCCATATCTTAATTAGAAAGTTTTAAATTCCTGTTCTGTTTTTATGCATTCGTAGTGTTGCCCATTTATATTATACATAAGTTTTTTTTTCTACAGTGAGTCCAAAAGTGTTATTTTGAATTATCAAATCACATGGAAATTGCCGTTCTCACAAAAGGATCAAACATCAACCATGTCGTGTTTCTGGCATTTTATACTTCGATTCTGTCTCTAATGGAAACAAAACAGGGAGCAGATTCACTGCCCACGGGAATAGACAACCCCCCAGTTCCTGCCATGGCCCCCTGCAGAAAGCAAATGATTGAAAACAAAGCAAATACAGGAGTTTTGCGACAGATGCTGAAAATAGGGGGTTGTATAAGCACATGAGTCTTTTGGAGGAGTATTTTGTGTATATTAAAGTTTGAACTCAATTCCTGGGAAATAGGAAAAATTCTAAGACTGTTTTAGAAACTTCTTGAAAGTTCTTGGCTTTCTAGATTAAAATATAATGTTGCTCCATGCTCTGATGTAGGAGCTCCTTAATATGGAAGGGTAGATTCAGACGTAGGTTGTGTGAGCACTGGAATGAGGGAGGTCAGAAACTCCAGTGTTTACCCATGGAACCCAGCAGGCCCTCTCTACACAGATGTTCCAGAAGCGCAAATGTGGTATCATTGCGCCCCCTCCCTACCCCTGCTCCCAGAACCCACAGTCTCTCCTACATTTTCTGACCCTGACCCTGATACTGTTTTAATTTTGTCTCCTTTAATCCCATTAAGGATCCATCCAGGATTGTGCTATGCATTTTGTCATTTTAGTCTTGGGTGTTTCCACAGCCTTTGTCTTTGATGACCTTCACATCATTTGAAGTACACGCTGTATGCTGTGTGTTTCATACATTCTCTGTTTTGTAGAGTCGGCTGTTTCCTTCAGATTAGATTGAGATTACATGGTCTTGGCAGGAACACCGAATAATGAGCCTTGTGTGTTCTTGGTGCATCTCTGCAGGGTGCTAGTCTTGGCCCTGTTATTGCTGATGTGAGTGGCTTTGGCCACTCCCTTTCCATAAGGGACGTCTGCCAAGTTTCCCCACTCTAAAATTAGCATTTGTTCTTGGGTAAAATAAGTACTTGGTGAGGAGATACTTTGAGATGATGTAAGTACCTCATTCCTTACCAGACGTGCAATAGTTACAGCATCCATGTTTGTTTCTTGCCTGAATCAGTGATTGCCGTGGTGGTTGCAGAAGAGGAACTCTCAGCTGTTGGTCATCCTTCCTACCATCAGTAACTGGCGTTCTCCTGTAAGATACTCCATCCCCTCACTAGAGGTTCTACTCTTGTTGGTATGAACTCATTGATTCTGAATTTATTCAATGGGTTATAATCTATTACCGTCAGTGGTTTAGCTTTTTCTTTAAATTGCCCCACTGTAACTAGTGAAGAGGCCCTTATGTATTCTAGCTTTGTGTCCTTCTGACAATGTCTTATCATTTTTGTCTTTCAAAAATATTTTCTTTTTAATTTATTATTGTGGAGGCCAGCTGGCCTGAAGACATCTTTGTGGAGTTGATTCTTTCCTTCCACCATTAAATGGATTCTGGGACTTGAACTTAGGTCTCCGGGCTTGAGCAGCAAGCAACTGCCTTTATCCACTGAGTTGTGCCTCCGGCTCCCTTTTTGTCTTTTAATATTATTCCTTTGAAGTTATTTTTCTCCAAGGAGTTCTAGTTCTTTTTAGTGGCAAATGGCATTCAAAAAAACCAGTGTGTAGGCCCTGCCTGAGTCTCAAGGGGACGCATATTAGTCTTAGGCTGCTGGTTTAGGTGCTGCTGGGCTGGCTGATGTGCTTGCCCACAGTCTCCAGACTCGGGCCACACACTTAATTCCTGCACCCTTAGAATAGGATCTGATCTCAGGCCATACTCTCCATATTTTCTAGATGCTTTGGAAGCTGTTATTCTTCTAGATAAATTTTAGAATACACATAAGCCTTCTTCCCCAGCTGTCATTTTGAAAAGTGTTCACTTGAGGTTGTTGTTAGCTTAGGGGAGAACTGTCTGACAGGACTGGGTCCTCCTGTTCAGGAGTAAGAGATGATTTCTATCCCCCTGCCCCGCCAATTTACCTCAGTAGTTTTTGTTCATAAATCTTGTCTCCTGCGATAACCATTACAACGTTATTGGCCATGGTTCTCTGTGTCTGAGCTGCCATCTTGCTCTGTTGCCAGGTTGTTGTGTTTTAGGTTCCTGGCCTCCAGTAAACCTACTTCAGCCTTCTGAGAAGCTGGGACCTCAACTTTTTCTACGTTTGTATTTGTGAATGGTATCTTAGCATTTTTTTCTTACGAATTTACCTATGCCACGAATGTATAGTTTGAAATTTCATTAAACCACGTCATCTGCATCAGTAAACGGGACACAGAGGCACTGTGAACTTCCTTAAAAGCCTTTCCTGGTCACAGTGCCTGCTGATTTCTGTCGTTCCTACAGCAGGCTTTTGTGTGTGTGTATGGGGGGGGATATAGATGGCTTGCGTTGCTTTGCTTCTCAGTGTCAGGAAAGTAGGGCATTGTGCCAGCTAATTACCCTGCCACAGACTTCATAAGAGTTTCCTGTGTGTCCCTGAATGAGGGGCAGTGATCAGTGCTTTCACAGGGTTTTAACACCAGCTTTACAGGGTGTATGGGTGACGTTGACTTCTTCCTTTTCCTCCTCTTTCTCCTCCCCTTCCCCCTCTTCCTTCCCTTCCACCTTCTTTTCTTCCCCCTTCCTCTTCCTCTTTTTCCTCTTTTCCCCCTTTCCTTTTCCCTCCCCTTCCCTCTCCCCTTCCCCTTTTCCTTTTCTTCCTCCTCCCCTTCCTCCCCAATTCCTCCTCTTCTTCCTCTTTCTCCTCTTTCAAACAGGGCTTCACTGTGTAGCTCCGTAGAGTGATCACATTCTTCCGGTTCCTAAGTTAGTAGGGGCTCTGTTGTTCAACAAGTGAGGACCCATTTTGATTTTTAGTTCTAGTGCGGTGAGTATTTTCTTGCAGAATATGGACTTTAATTATGTCTCTGTTCTTGCAGTTTTATTAGTTTATTTTTAGAAGTGTACTTTCTTAAACCTTGAAAACATTTGCACAGATAATTTATTTTTTAATTTAAGATTTTATTTTGCAAATTTTATACATGAGTATTTTATTTATCTTATGCCATATATAAAATGGAGTTTCCCCAAAACCAACTAGGAGACCAAGTCCTGTATGTAAAAGCAAAGAGTCTTTATTCTTACACAAGTTTGCAAACTTGGACCCTCTCTGTGTCCAGTGTGTTGGAGTGATCAGAGAGCTCCAGCTCAGTTGGGGTTGGGTTTTTATAGTAACAAAGGTTGGGGTGAGGGATTTCTAAGGTTCAGGATCCCTGACTGACATTTGTCTAGGGGTGTCCTAGTGAAAAGCGATGGGTGTGATCCTATCTACAAGGGTTCAAATCTTAGGAATTTCCTTTGGATGGTCTGTTTCTGTAGTGCCAGCTTATGATACCTGGAACCAGGTGCTGCCTGCTCTGGCAGCTGTGTGGCCTGGGCCCCATGTGTGGCCAAGCTGCTCTGGGTCCCACAATTTATAACCCTTTCACCCCTCCACCTCCTTCCTTCAATGTCCCCTTTGTCTCTCCCAGCCCCATCTCAAATTCATGTCCTCTGCTTCTTTAATGACTACTGTGACATACGTTGTATACATGTTTATATGTGTGGATTTACAGCCTGCTGTGTCTGTTTTGTGTTGCTCATCTGTATATTTACAGGGTTCTCTGTGGCCACGATGGCCAGTAGAGTCATGGTCCAAGGAAGGCAAGAAGGCAGTTTGGGTCATCATGACTCAGTAGCCGGTGCTGGTGCAGACTTTGAGAGTCTGACCTCAAGTAGTTTATTTTAAGCATATTTATCACACACATTTGGGAAAAAGCTTCCTGGTGATAATTAACTCAATCCTATGTGCACAGCAAAGCTGAAGACATGACTACATCGACACTCTCTGTAAAGTACAAGTGACATCTTTCATAAAGATGGGTTCTGTAGAACAACTAAAAGAACAAGCTCAAGATACAGCAGGGTGGGGGTGGGGAGAATAGCATGTTACAGATTGACTGAGACAAACTCAAGGGTCTAGGGGAGGATTCGGTATGGTCTGGCCACACAGAAAGGTCACCAGGCTATTAACCAAATCTGCTCCCAACTTCTGGGCTGAACACAGGCAATACAGCGATATCCCTGTGTGTTTAACATTCCTGGTTCCCCCAATGCTTCTGTGTGAGCTCAAGGACCTAAATGTATCCCTACTTACAATGTCCTTAGGGCTGACCATCTGGGGTTGGATAACCTATCATGGTGTTCATCCCTGTAGAAAACTGGTTCTCTGCCCCTCACCAGCCATTGACTGCCTATAGTTAGTTATCTAAGGGTGTGGGGGCTTGCAAAATTTCCCTCATACTTTGGCATTTTGACCAGTTGTGAATCTGTAATAGTTTTCCTTCTGTTGAAAAAAAAGTTTCTTTGATGAGGGAGAACTATACTCATCTGTGGGTAGAAGGACAGGCTTTTGGAACATTTTAGAGATTACACTGGGTTAGTAAACTAGCATACGTAGGTTCTCCAGGGTCCGTGCCTAGCCTACTGCCTTAGAATGTAGAAGTGTGTTGTTATTACTTTTAAAGACATATACTAAAAGACAAATCATACTAATGATTCTTTTTTTGTCTCGCTTCTAGAAAAACTAATTGCTTATCAACGAGAATTTCTTGCTTTAAAAGAACGTCTTCGCATAGCTGAACACAGGATATCTCAGCGCTCTTCTGAGTTGAACACCATTGTCCAGCAGTTTCGCCGCGTAGGAGCGGTGACTAATGGAAGTAAGGCTGCACTGAATACGTTCTCAGGTACTTTAGAAGTAGGGTATGTTCCAGGGGCTTTACGGAGTGTGTGACTGGAGGGTTCTGTGAACACGCCAGTCAGCGTGTGTTGCCCCTCTCAGAAAGAAAAAAAAATCATACAGACTTTGCTGTTCTGGTGAATTGTAAATGCATTTTTATTAATTGCTGAATTTGATTTCGATAGAACACTGTTATGTTTCAGTTGTGTGCCTTTCATCAGTAATAGTGAAAGGCCTGTGTCTTTTGAAAACATTCGTAATGAGATTAAATTTTAACTTTTGGGCTGGCAAGATAGCTCAGTGATTAAAGAAAGCTTGATGCCAAGCCTACCAGCCCTGGGTTCAGTCCCCAGGTCCCACATAGTACACAGAGTGAATCAGTCCCCCCATTGTCCTCTGACTCCCCACCCCCTAAATAAATGTTTTAAAAATAAAAACTGGATTTTAACTTTTCTTTCAGTATGCTTATGCTCTAGCCAGTGTTAGATGGCCTCTGAGGAAGTCTGTGAGCTGCTTGGAGCAATCCTGGCTCTTGCACCTATTTGATAATCAGGAAGAAACCTGGGCCTCTCCTGGGGTCTTCTGGTCTGTCGGAGGAACACTGCTTCTCTCTTGTGCTTTTTGCCTCTGATAATCCATTTGTTTGGTTTTATTCCAGTGCGCCAGGCCCCATTGCTCTTTCCAGACTGGTATTTTAGATCCAGCTTCGTGTATTCTAAACAGAGCCAGCCAGGGATACCTTTCATCTTGATATCAACACCTGACCTCGTTTTCAGAGTTTCGTGTTTCTCCCTCTCCTCCTCAGGGCACGTGTGTATTTTGTCACTAGAGCGTTTGCGATTACAGAAGGCTCCGGTTCAATCACCCAGAAGCCTGTGTCTGATGATTTCTATTAACAACGTTTTTTGGTTTCCTTTTAGTCTTTCTTATACATTTTTTTTTCAAAATATTTTCTTGAAATTATGCTATTGAGCATTTTTACATTATCATTTTTTGTTGTTGTTTAAGACAGTTCTCTGTAGCGCTGGTTGTCTTGGGACTTGCTATGTAGACCAGGCTGATCTCAAACTCACAGAGATTTGCCTGTCTCTGCCTCTAGAGCGCCAGGATAAAAGGTTCAGACCACAATGTCTGACCTTCTTCAAAATACTATCTACATTAAAATTTTATTTTACTGGGATAAGATCTCCATAGCACAGACTAAGCTGAGACTGCAGTCCTGTTTCAGCCGCCCTTGTGCTCGGGAGTAGAGCTGTGCACTCACCACCCTGGGTAAAGCACTTCAGTAGCGAATATGCTAATCATAAACCACAGCAAATTAAGCATTTCCTTCCATAATTAGCAAATGAATGTTTTCCTGGGTCATTTTTCCTCCTCCCAATCACAGCTCTGTGAGAAACATTTCTGTATGTCAATTGGTTGTATTTCTGGCAGCCCTTGTGATCTTCATTAGATTATGTTTTGCTGACCGGTGATTTTCAAACACGTGGCACCATTCCTGGAACAAGACAGAAAGCAATTAAGTATTTGTTGAATGCGTAAAAGCCAAAACCATCGAGAGGAAATGCCTGAGTCACAGGACAGGCTGTTTCAAGGCCTTTGATTCTGCTGAATGTCTAGAGCGATGATTAGACCATGACTGACATTTAGGCATCATTCAAGCTGTTTCTGGTTGCTGGGTGGGAATAGGATGTGGTAACATGAATTTCTTTACACGTGAGATTCACCTTTCATTTCATGTATGATATTATATATGTGAGTTTAGTATGGGTGTTTTTTCCCCTGCATATATGTCCATGTACCATATGCGTGCCCAAGGAAGCCAGAGGAGGGTACCAAATCTCCCCGGACTGGGTTCTGGGACTTGGTCCTCTGCAAGAGCAGCAGGTACTTTTGACTGCTGAGCCATCTCTCTAACCTTCTTGTTATAATTTTAACGGTGGTGTGGTCACAAGTCCTTCCTACTAACTTCCTTGTTTAGAAAGTGAAATTTCAATGTGATGAAAATTTAAAGCAATATGTGTAATTAGCAGAAGCTTTTACTCCATAGCCGATTCAGTGAGTCATTGGCTCCCCTAGATAAAAACTGAAACCACTTGAAGATTGACAGGTGCTGAGCATTTTCTACTTTAATAGTTTAAAATTTTTGACTTACATTTTTGTTTTTGGAGAAATATAATATCTGTATAAAGGTTTGGTGAAATGTTAATGCATAATGGAAATGAAGGGTAGCCTGGAACAGTGGCTCATGCCTGGGATTGAAGGATGGCTTCGTCGCAGATCTGAGGCCAGCCTGGGCTACATATATCAGTGACAGGAAAGTGAAATTTGGTGGTGGCCATTGTGTTTGCGGTTGACCTCATGTGTAGATAACACATTTAGAGCCCACTTATTTGTAATTCTCGTAAGCGTTTGCTGGTTTTCAAGAGAGAAAATCAGAGGCTTCTGTAAGGTAAGGGTCACTTAATTGTCTTTCTGTGTTTCAGATAATACCATAAAGCTACTAAAGGAGTTGACAAGCAAAAAATCCCTTCAAGTGCCAAGCATTTATTATCATTTGCCTCATTTATTGCAAAATGAAGGAAGTCTTCAGCCTGCGGTACAGATTGGCAATGGAAGAACGGGAGGTGCGTGTACTGTGTGCCTGTTATCTGAACTGTGATTGCGCAAGTGATTTTGACTGCTAGGAAGAAGTCTGGTAGGACAAAGGGTTAAAATTCTTCCCCTGCCCCCTTAAATCTCTGCACAGCAACTTGGGGCTCAGTCCAAATTGCTTGTTGAAAGGATATGGACATTTCTTCTCCATATATCAGAGTGGGATTCAGTAGACATGCAGTTCAGGCAGACACATGTTTAAACATTTGTAAATGTTCTGTTTTAAAAATGGGAAGGTAAAGGGATGGCCTCCACCCCTATATCTTATCACAGTCCTGCCATGGAGTTTGTCTTAGTCTGCTCCCCTTCTCCCTAGGCAGAGGCACCTCTCACTCTCACGAGCTTTCCATGTGATAACACTTGAATACACTGCTTTCTCCTCCTCCACACCCGCCGTAGCCCTTGAATTTTCCTTATAGGATTTTTTGGCTACTTTATATATTTTGTAGTTATCAATTTTTGCTCGAATTTAAACTTTTTGACTTAATTGAACTTGGATGTTTTAGTTTGACCTTCATATATTTTAAAATGTAGAGTCCGGAATTGATGAAACAGTTTGGCGGTGGCGGTGCATGCCTTTAATCCCAGCACTCGGGAGGCAGAGGGAGGTAGATCTCTGAGTGTTTTAAAAAGTCTTCTAAGGTCTGGAGAGATGGCTCGGGGGTTAAGAACACTGGCTGTTCTTCCAGAGGACCCAGGTTCAATTCCCAGCACCCACACATCAATTCATACCTGTCTGTAACTCCAGTTTCAGGGCTTGACACCTCACATAGACATACATGCAGGCAAAACAACAGTGACCATAAAACAAAAACAAATTTATATATTAAAAAACAAATCTTCTTTGGAGTCAGAGGCTGACAGATCATATAAGTTCCAGGTCAACCAGGGCTACACAGTGAGACCTTGTCTCCCTCAAGCCTCCTCCCCTCAAGTCATTTGAAACTTTGAAGATCTCCATCAGGTTCTTGTATACTAAACCCTTATGGTTTGATGGTTAACACTCTGTCTTTCTCTTAAAGGTATTTCTTTTGTCTCGTTCATTTTATCCATTATAAACATTTCAAGATCTTGACCACCTAGTTTTTAAATAGTTTACACTCCTATAAAGTGGATGCTGTTTCTGAAAGTTAGAGATAGAAGGCAGCTTGGAGTATGGGGAAAACCCACATTTAATTTAAAAATAAAAACCTCTCTTTCCTAAATCCTTAGACAGGTGGTTTTTAGTGGTTCTAGAACTAAGAACTGTTAGGATGTCCTTAAAAAGTCTTTGGCCTCTACTTAGAAAAACATGCATAGAAAAGTTGTTTTGTACATGATTTTTGTAATTCACGTTTTGTGGATTCCCAGAACCTAGGTAGGGACTTTGCATTGCGAGGTTCCATTGTCTAGATGCAAGGAGAGCTGCTGCTGGCTTGCAGTTCTGTTCCTCAGTAGCCAGGCTGATTAGCTACAGAACTGCGGCAAAGCTTTCCTCTGGCTGCGGCAGAGGACAGCCCTTCAGGTGATGATGGTCCTAAGAAGAAACCTTGATGGGCGTCTGAAATCCAGAAACTCTAGCGCTACTCCATCTTCCCATATACTCACAGAGGCAGCTGAGGTAGACAGGCACAGTGAGCACATGGCAAAGGGTCTTCATCTGCAAGTAGGGCTTACCCAGCAAGAAGGTGGCCAGCGCTGTGGTCAGTAACTTGGTGATCCATAAAACTGAACTGGTAGAGCAAATAGTGTGATTTATTTTAGAGAGCAGGGAAGGAAAACCCACAAAATAATACCCAACTGTTAGGAAAGACCACTTAGAAATATTTGTTTTTCATAATAGTAGTTAACGGTTGAAATTCTGAGATACATGGTCTGAGAGTTGATCCAGTAAGTTGGGTGTGGAGATAGGTACTCCCAGGTACTCAGGAGGATGAGACAGGAAACTCTTGAGGCCAAAGTCTGCCTGGGCAACAGAGTGAGTTGAAGACCTACCTGAGCAGCTTAGACTGTCTCTAGGGAGAGAGCTGGGGTGCTCAGTGGTAGAGTACTTGCTAGTGTGCATATGGTCCTGGGGTTCATCTCCAGTTTTATAAAGCAAGGGGGGAAAATGCCCCACTCCCCAAGTCAAATTGACGGTCAGCTAGATAGAGCTGCATAGAATGCAGCAGAAAGCACATGAAGGCTAGAAGGAGACGGCAGATGCACATCTGCCCAGTAGATTTCCAGGAAGGAAATGAGTACATTTTTAAAAATTCATTCTTTTCTCATATTTTTTTCTCACCCCAACTGCAGTTTCCCCTCCCTCTTCTCCTCCCAGTCCTTCCCCCAGATTCACTTTTTCCTTTCCCATCATAAAAAGGCATATCCTCCTGGGGATATCAATCAAACTTGACTTATCTAGTTATAATAAGAATAGGTATAAACCCTCGTATCACAGCTAGATGAATCAGCTCACTAGGAAGAAAGGGTCCCAAGAGCAGGCAAAAGAGTCAAAGACCCACTGTTAGGAGTTCCACAAGAAGGCCGAGCAACACACCCATAACACATATGCAGAAGACCTGAGTCAGACCTGTATAGGCTCCCTGATTGTTGGTTCAGTCTCTGAGAGTCCCTAAGAGCCCTGCTTGGTTTATTCTGTGGGCCATTTTCTTGTGTCTTTCACCCCTCTGGCTCCTACAGTCCTTTCTTACCCTCTTCCAAGGATTCCCTGAGCTCCGCCTAATGTTTGGCTGTGGGTCTCTGCATCTATTTCCATCAGTTACTGAATGAAGCATCTGTGATGTTGCTTGTGCTCCGCTTCAGCCAACAAGCATAACAGTATGATTAGTCAGTCATATCTGGTTCTACCCTAGGTCTGTGGGCAATCCAAACTGTGGTTCCTGGCCCTCCAGGGAGTGTCAGGTGTGAGTTCCCTCTTGTGAAATGGGTCTCAACTTTGACCAGTCATTGGTTGTCCACTCTCACAAGTTCTGCACAACCTTTACCCCAACACATTTTGCAGACAGGACAAATTGTAGTTCAAAGGTTTTGTGGCTAGGTTGGTGTCCCAGTCCCTCCACTTTTGGATAAATTAAGAAAAGGTGGTGGTGGTGGGGCGGATCTTTAAATTGAAGAAACGCCCAGGCCTTCAGAACAAAAGACTTATTTAATACCAAGCAGATGGCTGGCAAAACATTGGCCAGGTTGGCTGCCAGAATGGCACTCTTGACTGCAGGAGCACAGTGTGAGTCTTTGTGCATTTCCTGGCCTCAGAGTTCATGGGCACCTGCCCTGGGCCAGGTACATCACCCTATTGTGGCGTGCTGCTTGACCAGCAAGCAAGAACGACCATGAGTTGAGGATTCTTCTCTGATCACACTTTATTGGATCCTCTTGGTTGAAGGGAGAGCAGGAAGCGAGAGAGAGCGAAAGCCAAGCAGCAGTTGCTTTTCTAGGGTACTGTCCTGATTGGTAAATACCATTTCGCTGAAGCCCAGGGCTTCGAGATTGGCTAGGGAACAAGGCTCAATTGCGCATGTACAAGCAAAGGGCCCTCAGCCCCACCCAGCACTGCCAAAGGAGGATTTGTTTACCTCCAAGCTGCAGGACCGCCAGTGCCATATTGTAATGGCGATATCTGGATGGCTCCTTACACCCTATACCTAGGCTAATGGACTCAGTGTGACTCCTAGCCTTTGGAGCTCCAGTCTAGCAGAAGATACATGACGAATTAGTGATGTGTAGGATAGTTTCAGAGTGTGTGAGGGGGCACCAACCTGACACAGGAGTCGAGGGCAGAAGACCTGAGACCAGAAGAGTATGGATTTTACTGGTGAAAATTGGGTGTTTTAGTTTCTGTTGCCATTGTAACAACTTACTGCAAACTCAGGGACTTAAAGTAACAGAAATTGTGTCTTATAGTTGTAGAGAGCAGAAGTGGGAAAAGTCAGGCAGGTGCCAACAGAGTACACTCCTAGGAGCATAGGGATAGATCAATTTCCTGGCCTTTTGTAGTTTCAGCAGTCTGTCTGTATTCCTTTGTGGTCCCCTCCTTCATCTTCAAAGTGTAGTATCTTCAAATTTCTTCCTTGAGCCTCTTCCTTCTGTTGCTGCACCACTTCCTCTCACTCTTAACACTATTATTTTTTTCTTTCTTTTTTCTTTTTTTGTAAAACCCCTTTTGGTTATTCTGAGCATTCCAGGTAATCCAATATAACCTTCCCATCCCGTGCTTGTCTTAGTCCCGTTCACAAAGCCCCTTGCATCGAGAAGGTAACTGACTCTTGGGTTCTAGGTATTAGACCCTGGGCATCTTGAAGTCATTACGCTTTCCACCACGATGAGAAAAATCAAGAGCCCTGGAAAAGCCCTGTGGTGGAAGGGAGCATGAGCTGGTCCAGGAAGTAGATGAAGACCAATGTAAATGAAGTGCGTGGGTAGACAAACCATATCAAACCACAGGAAGCCGGGATGTTATATAAAGCCAAAGACTGTAGGGATTCAGGATCAGTTATAGGATTTTGGCTTTTTAGCGTCAGAACTGTAGGAAGCCACTAAAGAAGCAGTTCTCAACCTATGGGTCATGACCCCTTTGGTGGCCCAATGACCTTAGGCCACCAAAGGGGTCACTTATCAGACATCCTGCAGATTAGATATTTGCATTACGGTTCACAGCAATAGCAAAATTACAGTTATGAAGTAGTAACGAAAGTAATTTTATGATTGGGGCTCACTACAACAGGAGGAGCTGTATTAGAGGATCACAGATTAGGAAGGCTGAGAAGCACTGCAGTAAAAAGGGTTGCAGGTAGATTTAAAAGTAGTTAAGATTTAAAATGTACAGAGGTCATGTTTGCTACGTGAAGTGGGAAGAGTGTGTGAGGGGGCGGGTGGAGGAGCAGTTGTGAGAGACTAGATGAACTTAAAATCACACGCACACACAGATAGACGAGACACAGACACGGGGACACGGGAGCTACAGGACCATTGGGATTTTACAGGACTGTTTAGGATTTTACAAGTGGAGGCCCTGCTGGGATCGGGAACTAAGGGAACACTGAAAGATCAATAGAAAAGGGGCATTCTTGGCACTCTTGTCTCAAGGATGTCTCCGTGACCCTGTCTGCCTGTCTCTCTCTGTCTCTCTTTGTGTATGTCTTTAAATTTTCAGCCTAGTTCCTGTAGTGTATAGTGAGTAGAGCGCGGAATGGAACTGGTGGGTTTTTACAAGTGGAGGCCTCGGTGGGATGTCGGAAATTGGGGAGACATTGGGAGAGCACCCTCAGAAGGCTGGCCAGCAGTAAGCAAGTACGAGATTGATGGTGAGGGCAGATTGAAAATGGGTGCCAGTTATTTTGTGCAAGGATTGACTGTCAATTGGTAGTTCTTTTAGAAGCAGGGCACCAGAATTAAGCAAAGTTTTTTAAAATAGTAATATATACAAAAAGTAATATATACACAGAAGAGACATTTTATTGTATGGCCTGCGAAGATAAACCAGCATAAAGGTATTTTGACTTTGGGGTTTGAGTCTAGGGATTTGTTGTGGATCAGGAACCCCCGAAGGATCACTGTGAAATACCCCCAAGGATGCTGCGCCTCCACTCAGCAGAAAGTAGTTTAAGAGAGAAAAGCTACGCCCAAATTCCCTAAAAGATTGTTTAAGTGGGGCCCCTTCCGCAGTTCCAGAGTAGCAAGCCTGCTTCTCGGAGTTCCACTCTGCTCAACCTGAAGGTTGTAAATGTCTTAAATTAGTCAAACAGCCGTTGGCCAAAGCCCATCTAAATTATATTGATTATCACTAGCCTTTGCTTCTGCTGGTCTTTTGGCAGGAGTGACCTATTCTCTGAGTGCATGGACCAGCTTCTATCAGTAAAGGCTTTCAATTGTTCTGTGACAATTATGACATCCTTCATAAGGCAGGAATACCTTACAATCCCCAGGGACAGGCCATAGTGGAACGGGCTCGCGGAACTCTCAGACTATATTCAAAAAAAACAAAAAACAAAAAAGGGGAAGTATAGTAGTATAGTATGCCCCAGACATTTGGCATTCTTACATCAAGGATGACCCATGTCTCCATCTCTGTGTGTCTCTGTCTCTGTGTTTGTCTATATGTTTCTAAGTCTCAGCTTAGTTCCCAGCTCATGTATGGTCTTGTAGTGACACAGGAGCTACAGGACTGTCAGTTTTTACAGGAAGATGGAAGAATGAAGAGCAACTAACCAGCATCACATCTTCAGGAAACAAGAAAGGCTAAACTAACAATGGATACTAAAAGCAGAACATAGCTTAGTATAACTGAAGGTAGACTGAGTATTTGAAGATGGGGAATGCTACTTTTAGATAGTTTCTACTCTTTTTTTCTGGCTTTTGGACTGTGACTCCCATGCCCACAATCTCCCAGTGCCATCTCTGCTGCTCAGAGTTGAACTCGGTTTGGTGTGCTTGACCTGACCCCTGATTCTCTCCGTGGAGGGTCTTTCTACCTTAGATCTATTCTGGTCCTGCTAGCTCTTGATAATGTCAAGATCATCGTGTCTGCAGCATCCTGCTGCTTGCTCCTCTGGAGTGTTCTTCCTCAGCTCTTACACACCTCATGAAAGCAAAGGCGTTATTTAGATTATTTCCTGTTTTATGCCTAACACCTGGAATATTGCCTTGTGTTTAAAATAGGTGCAGAACGGTTTATCTCTAGAGTGGAGGAGAGGGACCGCAGGGGCAGTTCCTTTTACCCCTTGATCATCACTTGCAGAATAGTGAAGGTAGATCTGTAGTCTTTAAGCTTCCTTTTCAGCTTTAGAAGTCTTAAGTATTTCTTAGCATCTCCAGTAAATTGTCCCATGATTAAGTTTCATTTTTGTTGTGTTTGAGACAGGGACTCTCTATGTAGTCCTGACTTTTCTGGAGCTCGGCTGACCTCAAACTCACGGAGATCTGCCTGTCTCTGCCTCTTGAGTGCTGGGATTAAAGGTGTGTGACAGCACATCTGGTTTAGAATTATTTTTAATATTTAATTATTTGCTGTGGTGTATGTATAATACTTAGAATATTAATGCTTTAAGACTTTAAGATACAATTATAAAAAAAATTAAAAATTTATTATGCAAATAGTGTTCTGCCTTCATGTATGCCTGCATGCCAGCAGAGGGTACCAGATCTCATTATAGATGGTTGTGAGCCACCATGTGGTTGCTGAGCATTGAATTCAGGACCTTTGGAAGAGCAGCCAGTGCTCTTAACTTCTGAACCATCTTTCCATTTTCAAGATACAATTTTTTAAAAAAAGACTTTGAGATTCAATCAGTTCTGTGATATAATATGTGAAATCCCTCAAGTCACTGAGCCAGATAAAATTGTGTGACAAAATGAAAAAAAAATGGGGTTAGGATCACAGTGCTGAATTCTCTCAGTTGCCCACGAGGAAGAACCTATAAGATTGCATGTGATTATAAATCAGCAGTTAACTACAGTAAACACGATACTTGCTTAGGGACCCCGGGAGGACCTCCTGATAGCGCCGACTGCAGGAAGGCTCCAGTGTGCATTCACAAGCAGTATAGTGGAAACTATAATCTTGGAACCTTTTATGTGTCGCACACACCTGAGGTTCACCAACCTCTCTGCCAGCCGAGGACCCGGCACCCTCAGATAGCCCACCTATACTCACAGCACCGGGACCCAAGGCAGGAAGTTCACACTGCTACCATACTGCTAATGAGTCATGGTTCTCACTCGAGAGTTTACCGTGCTCATTTTTCTCTTCTGACCCAGGATCCCATGTTCCATTACATTGTGACTTCGTCATGTCTTCTCTTTAGTCTCGTCATGTAGTCTCGTTAGTCTTTTCTGTCTGGAGCAGTTCTTGGCACTGGAGAGAGTGCTGGCTAGTTACTTTGTGACGTGTCCCCAGACTGTATGTGCCTGTTGTTTCTTTGCACGACTCCTTGACTCCTTGAGCTGCTGATCATTGTCATTGTGTGACAGATATGTCAGTGTCTCTGACCTTTACTTGTGGCCTAATGTGCTGTTTGCAGCTGTGTTGGTATTACCAGTTATTTGCTGTTGTGTTTGCACACACCCCTGGCCTAGCCACAGGGAAGAGAATTATAGCACCGTAGATGTTTCCTTTTACTCTTTTCTCTTTCTAAAACCGAATTCCTCAATTACTCCTATATGTTTGCCTATAATGTCATTATAAAATCTTTTTACATAATTACTGTATTTTTTTTTCCAGTTTCAATAGTAATGGGAATTCCTACCGTGAAGAGAGAAGTTAAATCTTACCTCGTAGAAACCCTTCATTCCCTTATTGATAATCTGTATCCTGAAGAGAAGCTGGACTGCGTTATAGTTGTCTTCATTGGAGAGGTAATTTCCTGTTATATTTTTCACCGTATGTGATCTGAGAATTAAGCTGCTAATCAAATATTTGCATGTGCATTTGCATAAGCATTTAGACCAGCAGTTCTCAACCTATGGGCTGCGACCTCTTTGGGGAGGTTGCATATCAGATGTCCTGCGTATCAGCTATTGTGTTATAATTTAGAAGAGTAGCAAAGTTCCAGGTATGAAGTACAACAATATAATTTTATGGCTGGGTTCACTACACCATGAGGAACTGTATTAAAGCAGGTATTAGGAGCTACTTTGCAGTTCCCTATGCTGTCATAAGGAAGTGTGTTAGGGTGAGAACCACTGCCCAGAGGAAGTGTTGCCTTATTGGATTTTGGAATGGGAAGGGCTGGAGGTGCAGCTTAGTGGCAAAGCGTTTTTGTGCCACTGATGAGATCTAGGTCACTCTCCCTATAAGGGAAGACCTTTAGTGTGTCCTGCTAGTTCTGCCTCCCCCTCCCTATAAGTCCCACTGTTTCAGAGTTGTTTGTTTCTTTTCAATTGAATATGGTTTTAATGACAAAGTAAACACACACATGCTACTAAAATCAGTCATACAGTGAAACTTGCCTATTTTTCTTCATACAAATAAAATGTTGGTTTTTAAAAACTTAAATAATTCTTCCTATGGCTTGTATATCTATGTCTATGTCTATATCGACACACACACACACACACACACGCACACACACACACAGACACACACATACATACACACACACCAGAGGGTCATTCTGTATATGTTATTGCATTATGAACATTTTTCTATGCCAAAAAAAGACTTTTTTTCTGTCTTCCAAATATTTCATCGTCTGGTTTCAGAATTATTTTTTTCAATTTCTGATGTATAGGTGAGTTTTTAGAGTTCCTGCAATGATCAGCAACAACATTAAGTATGTAAATAAAGTGCGTATCTGTATAGTGACTGACTTGACACTAATTTCTAAATCTGGCTCAGGACCCAAACACATTAAAATATTCAGATGTGACCAACATGCACTGGAGAAGTTGAGCCTCTTCCTCTCCTAGCAGTCTGTCAAAGAGCTCATTTCTTTTTTCCAGGTACTATTAAAATATTAAAAACTGGTTTTTATTGTCAACTTGACACAACCTTGAGTCGCCTGGGAAGAGGAAACCTCAAGGATTGCCTAGATGGTTTGCGGCCATATCTGTGACAGACCATCTTGAGTTGATAACTGATGTGGGATGGCCTAGTCCTCTGTGGGTGGCACCATCCCTATGCAAGTGGTTCTGGGTTTCATTAGAAAGCTTGACCATGAGCCAGAGAGCAGTGTGATTTCAGCTTCCGTTCCCGTTTGAGTTCTGACTTAACTTCCCTTGTTGATGGTCTGTGACCTCGAAGCATAAACCAAATAAACCCTCCTTTGAGCTTCTTTTGGTCAGTGTTTTATTGTTATTATAGCAATAGAAAAGCAAATAGAGCAATTTGATTTTCTAATCTGATGGGTAAAAAGTAACACATTGGTTTTTGCCAAAATAGCTCAGTTTAGAGACTGGTTGCAAAGTAATTCTTTGCTTTTATTTAAGTTGGGTTGCTTTACTGTATGGATTAAATGTAGGTTTGTGTAGATTCTGACCACTCGATTTATAATTGTTTTTCTATAAGCTTTGCTTATTTTTTATGCTTTGATTTGTAAGGAGCTTCCATATACGAGGGAAATCAACTCTTTGAAGTAGTTTGATTATTTGGTTATTTGTATTCTTTATGATTTTTTTTCTTGTCATTTATGTATGTCTGCCCCTGGAGATGGGCACTACTCCTTTGGAAAGCAGCTAAGCAGGACTATTTATATTGAAGGTGCACTTTTGAGTCAGCATGGTGCTTGTAAAAACCAATCTAGTACAAACATTTGCAATTTCAGAAATATATTTAAGCAGATAAACATGTATATAAAACTCCTCAGTGCGCATTACTGAAATAAGTAAGAAAAATTATATCTTGGTAAAACTCTTATAGCTAGCAGATGCATTGAGTCTCAGGATTATGTGGTGATGGCACTTTCTGCCAGGTACATTTTTACAAAGTTGGCATTTATATACAATGAGAATATTATTATTGTATAGTGTTAGCAGCGTTCCAATGTCTGATTAGCCCTCTTGGACGACAGTGTTTGCCTACCTATCTCCATAAAATTTTAGTGCTTTCCAGTCTGTCGTGAACAGAAGTGAAATGTTTCACTGGATTTAGCCACTAGGCAATTCAGAATCATTGCTGGGTGTGCTTGTGTCTCCATGGGTTAGTTAGAAGTGTTTCCGTCGGAGCCCATAAAGCATGGGTAACAGGTACATCTTCTGTGGTTTTGACCATAATTTATACAGGATAACTGGATAGCTTCAGATTCTTCCTCAATACCTGTTTCTGCTTGCCTACTTGATAAACATCATCCAGATGTCTAATGGGCAGTGTAGCTGTTTGAATAAGAATGACCTCCATGGCTCCTAGGTTTAAATGCGTAGTTGCCAGGGAGTGGCACTGTTTGAGAGGATTAAGAGGTGCGGCCTTGTTGGAAGAAGTGTGTCACTGGAGTTGGAGTTTGAGGTTTAGAAAGCCCATGCTGAGCCCAGAGTCTGTCTTTCTGCCTGTGGCTCAGAATGTAGTTCTCTACCATTGCTCCAAGGTAAGGCTGCAGGTCGCCCTGCTTTCTGCCATCATGATAATGGACTAAACCTCTGAACAATGGTAAGCAAGCCCCCAGTTAAATCCTTTCTCTTATAATAGCTGCCTTGCTCATGGTGTCTCTTCACAGCAAGAGAACAGTAATTAAGACAGGCAGCTCTCAGTTTGTCCAGATCTAAATTAGTCTAACCTCCGAAGCTGCTGCTGCTCTTCCAGGTATCCCATATGCTCATGGGAGTTCTCTGTGTGCAGTGCTAATTGCCCCGTGCCCAGTATGTTGTACAGATCTGTGTGTTCTCTGTTCTGTGTGTATTACTCCGTTTGAACACTGCCTCTTCCTTTCTACTCCCTTCTTCCTCCATCCCAGCTGATCACCTTCTGGGAAGCTATCTCGTGATTTCCCATTTAAATTAATGACAGCACTAACAGGCAAATATGAAAAATATATGTTCATATGTACACACACACACGTGTGTGTGTGTCTATATTTTTAAGCAAATCAGGAATTTCTGTGAAGACATGCATTATCTTTAGTTTAAATATGTGAGGAGAGATTAAGAATGAAAAAAGTGCTTGAGATGCTGGGCATGTTGGAGTGTGCCTGTAAACCCGGGCCTCAGAAGACTGAGGCAGGAGGATTGCTGGGAGTTCAAAGCCAGCCAAGGCTAAATAATATTGTTTGTAAGTCAAAGCAGAGTACTAGAGCATGGGAAACTCATGTAGGTCACTGAGGGCTGTGGTCTTTTCCCTTGTCACTTTTTGTTCTTTGTATTTTTATTTACTTTCTTTTTAAAATTTAAAGCATTTATTCATTTTATTTTTTTAAATCATTTTTATTTTTGAGATTATAATTAGATAATTTCCTCCTTCCAGTGCCTGCCCCCATTATACCCTTCCTTGTTCGCTTTCAAATTCATGTACTTTTTCACTAGCTGTTGTTATATGCACATGTGTGTGTGTGTAAATGTATAAATACAACCTGCTCAGTCTGTATGTTCCTTGTATGTATGTTTTAGGGCTGGCTGACCGTTTGGTATTGGATACCACATTGTGTGCTCTTCCCTGGGGAAGACTATTTTCTCCTGCTCTTGGCATTCCTTAGTGGCTGGTAGTTAGTGTAAGGTTGAGGCTGTGTGGTCTTTCCTCCCATCCTCTCTGGCATGTCTGTTGTTGTCTTTGTGTTTGGCTCATGTTTAGGTAGCCACGCTGATGGGCCTTTCTCTTTGAGTGTAGTTTTTGACATACCTAGGAGACAGGATCTCACGGTCTACTCCCTGAGGCTCAGGCGCAGGAGCTGTATTGTAGATGGGCTGGGCTCCACAATGCTGTGTGGTTGTGGTTTTCTGTAATGGTCTCCTTTTGTTACAAAGAGAAGTTTCTTTGATGAGAGGTGAGGACTATATACTTCCTTGGCTAGACTCTAGAGGAAGATCAAAATATTTTTATGTGTATCGATATTTTGCCTGCGTCTATGTCTAGGTGCCATAGACAAAGCGTGCCTGCTTTCAGTGGAAGCCAGAAGAGGAAGTTGGATCCCCTAGGACTGGTGTTAACAGGCAGTTGTAAGCTGCCGTGCAGGTGCTGAGATTTGAACCTGGGTCCTCTGGAAGAGCAGCCAGGGCTTTTAACCACTGATCCATCTCTCCAGTCCCCATTTTCTTTAAAGAACTAAAAGAAGCCTATCTTTGGGAGAGTAATCATTAGCTATTGCCTTTGTTCTTTGTTCCTCTCTGAGTATCTCACCTCCTGAGTCCTTTAGGCATATGATAAAACATTTACAGCATACTGGAGATGTGGCTGAATGCTGGCACCTCATTTAGAGTTCACTGGCACTCAGCTCAGAACTTCAGGAGGGCTTGAGGGGAACAGATTCCAGTTGCTCTGGAGGATTCTTTGTGTGACCCAAGTATTGTTGGTACTTTTTTAGTTTTTTTTTTTAAACTTAGTGTTTAATTATAGCATTTAGAGTATAATGATCTTTTGGTAACGATATGCCTCATATTACTTTATGTATTTTTTTGCTCTTATTCTATATACTAACACACACACCACACATATATGTATGTATGTATGTATATATATATATATATACACACACACACACATACTAATTCTTGTATTTTTATCACTCAAGATTATTTTGGTCAAGTATTTCCTCATAGTGTACCCTGGGTTTTAGCAAACTGTTTTTCATGCCTGTATTTGGGGCATCCCCCAGCTATAAACCCTGGTGGAATGAAGTGTCTACACCTTGCTATGAAAACTAAAAGTGCCAGCCGTTTGCTTTATGGTTTACTGTTCTCATGCTGTACTTTGCAAAGGAGCCTCTTTATTTTCA